TCTTAAAGAACATCGATATATCTACCCCGAAAACACGTTGTTGGCAAACGATTTTGTAGGGGTTTAAGATAAGGTTACAACTAATTTATAATCAAGTTGTTGTTGCATTTGGGTTAACACTGGTTATGAAAATCATAATCGGTTTGTCGACCACGCTGTTTTGTGTTGTTTCGTTGGAATCCTGATGTGCGGCAAAGTATAAACCGTACGACAAAGTATAAACCGTACGGCAAAGTATAAATATGCAGCAATTAGCAGCTTTCTGTACTATAAACAGTACAAGGAAGCCAACTTTGTCGGGTGACTGTAGGAAAAGTATTTTTATTTCGTAGATTTGTTAATTTAATTATGCAATATGAGGAAAAATATAGTTCATCACGAGGGGAAAACGTGTTTTTTCAACCGTCGCACATTTTCCGAACGCAGCTTCGCCAAACTATTGTAACAATGTACAATATTATTTGTTTTTTATTACCATACAAGATGATTGTAATAAAAATTGAGCATTTTTATGTTATAAGAGAACCAATTTGAAAAACTAATTTTTGAAAACTTCAAAACCACAGAATACCCCGTTGCCATAACCCGATCTTGCTGGTTTGCGAACTCATTAAAGTTTATTCAGACGTACATCTTCAAGCCTAATGTCTACTTATTATTTACCTATATAGACACGTGATCTACAATTAACGAAAGCTAAAAGCTTTCCTTATTAATCATTTCAAACATATAATAAAACAAATTTTAAAGCAAAGTTTTATAAAAAAAAGCACTGGATTGTAAACAGTCTTAAAGGTAGAACACCAGTTTGGTCCCGTTCTCATTAGTCCTCCGTTAGATTAGGTGGGGGTGGTGGGGGTCCACACAGACCTCGATTACTTGTAATGACTTTGTTGTTACGGGACACCCTGTTTGGTGGAACAAAGCAAGCCTTTGTATCCAGTTACCTTTACAAGTCATAGTTGCCAATTATACTCTTGTTAACTTTAACTAGCAATGATCTACTTTTATGTTTGTTCAATATGGAATGTTTGAAAGAGATTTCGGTTTTGGTTTCAAAAAGAATTTAAGTACAGTGGTTTCAGCCTGGTGGAAAATTTTGGATATGTGTGGGGAAGACCGATATATAATTATTTGGGGTCTGACGAAATCTTATGACCACCTATGTAAAAAATGGGTGTGATGAGGACTTTCTTTCTTGAGGAACTCCCCCATTTTTAATTAGTCATACAATAATGTTATCAGTAGAACAATCTACCACTGTCAAGAGAATAATCATTATTAGGGGAGGAGGCAAGAGAATGGTAATAAGCAATTATCCACTTGTATGTGGTTCTTTAGAGGGTAATTATTATCCTGCATCCTCTACGAAAATTGTTGAATTAAAGAAAATAATTTACATACATAAACCCAGTGTACAAATTTATGTAAATTCATGTTTACGAAAGTAGAGCAGTGATCACGTTAAACTTTAAATATTCCAACTGCTTTATTGACGTTATAGTCCTTCGGTCTCCTCACTTAGAAACACTATTCCTTGCATTTACATTGTTAGAGAGAATGCTTTTCTTTGACCAACACAAAATAGAGCCTATTTTCTTACTACTTTGATATCCATGTTTAGATTATTATTGGGAATCTTATAAGAATGTGTTTATTGTATACAAGGTAAAAAGAACTTTCTCCCTTTTGTAGATGTTTTTCAACAAAAGCCACCTGGTTGTGGTAAAGAGATAATTAAGACAAAATCTGAAAGCAGGGAAACAATTGAGAACATTTAGCCCAAAAAGGTCTGATACATTGCTTTAATTTTCCTTGGTTAACTACATAAGCTTCTTGGCAAATGGAAAGATCTTGATCCAACTGTTTAAAACCAGTTAAAATGAATGATTCAAATAATAATCTTACAGTATGTACGAGTATTTTATATGTATAGCTTTTTTGGCAGAATCAAGTCCAGTAAGTGACTCGCAGTAACTTATTCAAATATCTTGTATTGAAAATTTGTATGGTTTCACGTTAAATATAAAAACCCCAAACCAATGTTTTATTAATCAAAATCCCTTCCCTAGCAAGCGTCCTTCGGCTCGAGACTAAATCAATTTCTAAAAGTTGTTTAAAACTTCCCTTAGCCTGCCCCACTTGCCTAACTTGGCCAAATTGACTTGTCTATCTCCCAGCTTCTCTCTTCTTTATCCTTGTTTCGTAGATTTACTTTAGCTTTTATGTTTCTAACGTATAAGTAATTGTTTTTTTTATTATAGTCAGAGAAGCCATAGTGCAGCAAAAAAGTGTAATTTTTACACATTCGATGCTGGTCTTAACTAAACAGTTTACTCCCTACAGAGTAAAAGGCCTTTCTAGTATGTAGGGAGTAAAATTCAAATGATGCAAAATCAATTGTATACTTTGATTGTAGTTGCGCATGTACCGAAAATAGGTACTAATTGATTCAATCCGTGATTATTTTTGCATTCTTGTCAATATTTCGACTTATCGATAGTACACTAACACAATCGTAATAGACGAAATGATTCAATCGAATACTTATCAGCAACTCGTTTCCATTAAAGTTAGCAGTCGTTGAGGGGTTATCCTTTGCATGACAAGTATTTTCGTTTTCTAACTTGGTTTGATTATATGATAGTGCAATGACGAAAAAATATAGTTTCATCACATGGGTAAAAAGTGTCTTTTCAACCCTCACTTATTTTCCAACCTCGGCTTTGCCTCGGTCATTAAACTTGAGCTCGGGTCGAAAAGAGTCACTTTACGCCTCTGTATAAAAAGGGGGAGGATTTTCAATTACAGCTGATATAAAAGGAGGAAGTTTAGTATCAAAATATTGAGGTTTGATTTGAACAACTACTAGTTTGAACTATATTCGCTACAGCGCTGCAATCGCTGAACACTGCATAGTTAAGTAAGGATTTATGACACACAGGGTGGCCCATAACTACATAAATTTAATAAGAAAATTACGCTCGTTGACGTCTGTTGTAAATGTGATTCTAACGAGAGCTCCCCCTCCCCACCACCCGTTACACACTCATCACCCACTAGGGTTCTATGCGCTCGCTGTTTCTTCATTATTTGTTTTTCTTAATCAACATCATTATCAACAAAAAGCACAAGTATCAGTTTCCACGTGCATTAGTTATGTAACTTTTCCGCATATTAATTATGTGGTAGCTCGTCATATGTTTAGTAGAAGTGTGACAATTACTCTAAAAATAGTGTTTACAAATATGACAAACGTATATATTATTGATAGTCATCAAATTCTTATGAACTTACGTAAATATTTTTATGTTTTCAAAAGATACAATATTTATATTTTAATTTTCAACATCGTGTTTTGTATAAAGTGATTCTAATGCTGAGTTCCTTTGAATTTTGAATTGCTTGACTATTTTTGTTACGACTAATTATCATGTATATGTATATCACAAAAACATTTTTTTTGTCATCCTTAAAATTATAAAAGTAAAATTAAATTGTTGTTTTACTTTTGAAAATTAAATATAGTTCACATTTTGTTATACAAACTATTTGGTGTGATATATAAGATAGCTATACAAAATATTTTAAAAGAAAATCCTTTTTCTGAGGTATGTTTGCTAGGTAAGTTCATATTAGATTGATAACACTTTGAAACCCCTCTCCTTAGAGTCTAAAAATACAATTATACAATTATTCTGGCCATAAAGTACCCTTCCTCATTGAACAATCAATTATAGATTTGAAACAACCAAACTTCAACCCAAGAGCTACAAACATTTTTCTAGCATATTTTCAAACTACCTCACTGCACCTATAAAGTCAAATGCCTCTACTGTATTAGATAAGGGTGGCAAGATGATTTTGCAAGAATCGTTAAATCCCTATGTTGTAAGGGTAATTATGTGTAACCTTGTAATTATATTGTAATTATGTCAACCGTTAATGAATGCGGTTGACAAACGGGTTTATTTATAAACAATGTTTAACAACAACGGAAGACAAGAGTATAATTGGCAACTATGACTTGTAACTATGACTTAAGGTAACGAGAGACAAAGGCTTGCTTTGTTACACCATACAGGGTGTCCCGTAACAACAAAGTCATTACAAGTAATCAAGGGCTGTGTGGACCCCCACCATCCCGACCTAATCTAACGGAGGACTAATGAGAACGGGACCTACCTGCTTCTATTTTCATTGCAATTATTCTGATATTCTTAATTTTTGCTTTCAATGATTTTATTTATTTTTAAATTACAACGAAGAATATTTACAAATTGTTTAATCCAAGCAATTTTCATCGATTATTTAATTTTGTCTATCTTGATGGCTTAGATCATGTACAATCATCGTTATTATCCCTACCAGATAGATATCATCGCACACCCGTGTATTTTAAACCGTAAACTGTTATAAAGTGAATTTAAAAATGAGTGAAATGCTCTGTGTAGTTTGTCCTTTACATACATACTAGTTACGCTCCTTAAAAATTACACTACAAAGAACAGCACCCCAGAGAAGTGAAGGTAACACGCTTATAAGACGACCCTGTTGGAAATCTTATCACACAGGACACAGGATCTCCACTATGAGCGCTGTAGGAGGTCGAGGGGATGGTATTGAACTTTGCTCTAGACACCAGCGACCAGTGTTAGACACCGCTTATGTGTACCAATGACTATGTTTCCTCTGTACCTTACTTCTCAATACTGACATTAGTGGTGAGATAGAAGTTTATATTTTCGACGTGGCTACAATTAAAAGTTCGACAACCTAAGTAAGGATAACTTACCATCATAACCATCTTAGAACTATTTTTTACGCCAGTGGCATTTTACGAGAGGTCGAGAAATAAATGTTTAGTGGATGTGCCGGAGGACCCGTCCTGCACCGAAGTCCGACACGCTAACCACTAGGCTAGCAACACACTCGATTTATTCCCTATTTCCTACTATTTCCCTCTGAATCATTATTAATTTTACCCATATCTGTTCCAGAATCGCTACAAGGACCTCACGAGAAACGTCTACTGCACAACCTCCTTGACCATTACAACGTATTGGAGCGACCTGTGGCCAACGAGTCGGACCCTCTGCAGCTGAGTTTCGGCCTTACACTAATGCAGATCATAGACGTGGTACGTTCACTCACTTTACCTAGATGTACGACCACTATTGAGTCATAAGTGTACGATAGAATCTCCACTTAATACGATGAGATCTGAGTCATACATATACCATCAGTAACCTAACCTAACCTAACCTAACTAACCTAACCCACATAACCTAACCTAACCTAACCCATCCTAACCCAACCTAACCCAACCGAACCTAACCCAACCTAACCTAACCCAATCTAACTTAACCCAACCTAACCCAACCGAACCTAGCCTAACCCAACCGAACCTAGCCTAACCCAACCTAACCTAACCTAACCTAACCTAACCAAACCTAATTCATTGTAACAAAAAGTTTATCTCATGGACAATGTTCTTACAGATCTGTTCTGGCTCATACATATACAATCAGATCCGATTTCTAAAAACCTGATAAGATCTCACTCATTTATAATATTAGTTGTGATTCATAGATGCTATAAGATTTACCACATATCGAATTTGCATGGGTCAGTTCTGATTCATTATTGCTATTATAAGTTCTGATTCATGAATGTTATAAAAGGCATCATAAATCATATTCTTATTGGTCAGTCCTGAGTTTTAGCTTTAAGATCAGATCTAAGTCATGCATATATTATCAGGTCTGATTCGTAATATTTACTTCATAAACCAGTTCTGAGTAATATATACATTCAGAATCATGTGCGTACTATCAAATCTGAGTTGAATATATACAAATAGTGCTGAGTCATGGATTTCGATCTGTTTAGAGTCATAGACATAATATCAGATTTCACTCATAAGTGTACTATTAGTTTACCTATGAGTGACATTCGCCATGAAAACTTTACTTAGTGCGATAACTCAAAAACTGAATTTATATCATATAGGTTTGTTGTATTATCAGTTTCAAGTCTTATATATCAAAAGCCTTAGGTATACTGAGTTATAGGTATCATGACATAGACATACATTCAGTTTCAAGTCGTAGATATAAGATTGGATCTGCATTATAAAATCTGCTTTTGGCTGTACAATTGTATTTAAATCATTCAATTTAAATCATACAAATAGCTTTTTATCGTAAATATACGTTTGGATATACAAGTAGATCTGGTTGCAGATATATGTTTAGATCTCCAAGTCATAGACTTTCAATCGTATCTGAGCCATGGTGTAAGACTAGAACGTTGGTCCTGGATTATTCGTTATATTTGGACCGAGTTACAAAAAAAGATTCGGTTGTTAGACTGGTTAATTTTCAAGGATGTCATTTAAGGTCAATGATACTGACAATAACGGTGTTTATGAGGTTTAAACTAGTATTTTGAAATGAAACTAAGGTGTACTGTTGTTAGTAAGTATGCTTTACTTTAAGTCAAAATGGGTTTAATCTGCTTTACATATATTGTTATGTCATTTTATGGTAAATGTAAACGAACGCCGTTTAACTTTTTGAAACACTGTTTTTAATACAATAAATTTTTTATCACATAAAAGACATTCGTATTCTTATTTTTTATGAAGAATTTTTGTAATATTTAAGTACCTTTGAAAGAAAAAAATATTTAAAAATCCCTTTTAACTAGTTGAATAGTTAATATATTTAATATGTTTAGTAATAGTGCTGTAACTTTATAGTCCATCGATAATCGTTTTGTTTTTTTGTTTTTTTGTATACAGAATGAACAATGTTTTTTTATTTATATTTATATTTATCAGCCTACCAAAATGATGTGTTGCATAAAGTAATAAATTCGAATTTTTTAAAATAAGTGGATTTGTCATTTATTGGACAAGAAAAGGTAATTTGACTAGACACAGTAACATGTTGTAGCAGTAAATGAATCTTTAGTAATCCTTATATAATTTAACATGATAAAACGTAAGCAATAGCACCTAAATTAAATTTAAAATGTTTCAATTAATTGACAATACCAGGTTTTTACGGAGTGGCAAAGTTAAGTTTACTAATTACGGAAAATAAGTCGTGAAAGAAAATTAAACACCATTGATCCAGAATTAAAATTCTTCTATCTAGTTCCCGAAGCGTTCGTCGATCTTGTCAAATAAACCAGCCTTAATGGCAACAGTCATTATTCCGAGTTTCCAATTAGATTTAATCGTCCGTAAGAATTTAAATTGGAAATGGTGAAATGCTGCACCAAGCATCCAAGCCAGCGGCCATCCACGCGTGAACTGTTTCCCGTTGGATATTGAAGTTTACACTAAACTTTCCAATCTGTTATTGAAGTGTTTTATGGTGGTTTGACAACTTTATACGAGTGCAAACTCACAATTTCGTCATTTCAGTATATTATCGTCCTAGCTACTTGGAGGTCACGAGTTGTGGATATTGAGGTATAATCTGTGGATGCGATATTTCCTGGTGTGGATTAACGTCCGCCCTAGTGAGTACTAAGACCATCCACAGTACGTTTCTGATAATTAGTACAATTCGTTAATTACAATGCAAAAAAGACTGACTCACTCATCTTCTATCATCTATAACGTTGTTTGATTGCTTTTTACTATGTTCTTTTTGGAAATGACTATTGTATTAAACAGAGCAGCAATTTGAAATTTCATACATATTACCATTGAATTCTCCTTTGCTTAGCTTCACTGTTCTCAATTGATTTACGACAAAAATTGAAACATGTATTACTGAGGTCAATCCTACTTCTTTTCTTACATGTCTGAACGAAATATACCATTACATAAGAAATATGCCATAAAATAGCAAAGTATTGCCTTAGACTTTCAACTTCACTAACTACTTTTGGAAATACTGTAGCTGAACGATGCGTCCTCCTATTTGTACAGAATTCGTAAACAAAACGTAAAAGATACGTGCATTTAAACTTGAAACGCAAAATTTAATAAATACAATCTTATTTCGAATTTGGCACTTGTTCTAGTACGTATGTCAATACGTCCCTGAATGCATGCAAGTTTGTTAATGAATTAAAATTGTGTTATCAGGTACTGATGCAAACTTGAAGAGGTTTCATTCCCTATAAGTATAAGATATGTCAATCAATATGTACAAGATTATTTCCATCATACTTATTGCAAACAAAAAAGGTTTTTATTGACTACTAAATTCCTCTAGCTGTCATAATTAAAAGATTTTTCAATAAATCATTCAAATTTTTCAAAAGACAATTTAAATTTTTCATAAAATGTTAATGTGCATTTATAAAACTTCAAAATCATTTTTTGTTCTTTTTAACATATAATGTATATAAATTTTGTTATTGAACAACTCTTGTTAAACATATAATCGTCAACGTTGCGTATTAATCACAACATTGAACCATAATACCGACCAATTAGTAACAGGTTTAAAATATTCTCTGAATCGTCAGTATAATTAGTGAGGAATATAATTGAGTTCGTGACGATGAATAGAGAGGCTGCATTTGCATTTTGTCGCCGTTCCAAAGCCGCCATGCCCTCGCGACAAAATCTTTTATAAAGAACACCATACAGTGCATAATAACACGCCGTATAGCTACATGTAATTAAAAACTATAACAAAACATCGTATAGCTAATAAAACATGATGTATTGGAACATAACGTAAAAATATTTTTTTGTCATTACAGGCCAAAAGTACCATGTGTTCAAATTTAATGTGTTGGTGTGTGTTGTGTGTGTATGTGTCCGTTAGCACAATAAATCGATTAGAAATAATTCATCCGATTTTGATTAAATTCGGTAAAACCCGTGTAATAGGCCTACTACATTATTCAAAAGAGGTCACGAACCAGAATTATCGGATTATGGTAACCGGGTTTCATGGGGTACACTTGGGGTTTCTATGTTTAACTCCAAAACATGAGTCATAAGTCCTTAATTACAAAATATATCGTATTGGAAACGTCACTTTACAATGGAGGAATTGAACATCTCTTAATTAAGGTAAAAGAACTACTAACCAAAGAAATTATACTTTTTGGTTGAATAGAACTGGAATCACGTACTCTGTAGTAATCTTCTTCAATTAATATGCTTTTAGTTTATTTCTAAACCTGAGTAAATCAGTCTCCAGTTTTAGCAGTTGAGAAAGTAGGTTAAAAAGTTGTATAACATGTATTCACTTATACAATTAAAAGTACAACATTTAGTAATACGAAACTAAATTTTTAACATAAAATTAGTAATTAGCTGTGAATTTTATACAGACAAGAAACACGAACACTTCATATTTTTGTAGAAAAAATGAAATTAAATGAAATTTTCAAGTTGTAAGATGTGCGTAATGAGTATGTACTGCAGATAGTGTGGGTATTAAATATTGACTGATGTTTTTTTTTTTTTTTTTTTTTGTTGTTACAAAGGGAAGAGTCTTAATGACGTGTATAGTGAAAAAGAGCTATAAACGTTTGAAGTTCATTTCTACATCATTTTTTTACAGCTTAAAAAACAAATAATTTAGTAGTGTTGTACACCGAAAGGCAACGGACAAAATGTAAAAAAGTCATACAGAGACCGTGTGTGAAACTAATCGTAAACTGCAGGTTATAAATGGTGAAATTCTATCAAATCAATCACAACACCGCAATCAGTGAGGCATTGGTTTACGCAGGACAAGATTGGCTGGATTGGTCCTGTTACCCGTAGGTCTCATCACCCTTTATACATAGCCAATCAGTCTGCCGCTCGACCATCCAATCATCATGGATTTGTCACTCAATTGTCATCGATGCTTATTGGTTTTTACTCAAACAATTGTCCAAAATATTTTCCACGCTAATCTCGGATTGGTTTTTAAATGTGTGGATTTTGCGTCAACTTTTCCAATTCCTAGGTGATCCCATGGTTTTAAATTATATTGTGACATTACGTTTATGTATTATGGTAACAAGGTTTGGACCGTTCCCTTTAAAAGATTTTTGAAAAGTTCCAAAGACGTAGATGTACACAAAATTGGAACTTAATAGATTCTTTTCCTCATTGGCTTTCAAGAAATAAAATATGTGGTTCGCTTTTTTCACGAAAGTAATCGGTTA